CCTATCAGGCTGACTGGGAAGAAGTGCCTACTAAATCTTGGCAATGTCTAACATAAAATGTAGCCCAGCAGTTTAAACTTCATGTTTTTCTGAAACTGAACAGATCAGTAGGATATTTATCAGATTTAGAGAAATATATTTGTGGATTCTTTCGAACACAGAGACAATGACCATCCCTACCTCATGTCCTGGGCCAATGTTAAGCACTTAATGCTCACAGAACCGAACTGCCTTTAAGGGCAGCACACATACTGACCTCTCTCTGGTATTGGATCTGTTATGGTGGCAGTAAAGTGAGTGATTATTGGAGAATGGTTGCAAGCTCTTTCACTGATTCTGCTGAAGTTCTACTTTATAATGTTATTTTTTTATTCTGGTGTAAATATCACTGAGATTAAAAAATGTCCTTTTCATGACTGACATGGGCAATGAAGCAACAAGGGTTTTATTTTAAAAAATGAACACCAGTTATCAGCGTCACATCTGCTAAAGCAGACAGCATGCAGCGACAAGGATGAGTACCCAAATAAGAGAAAGTAACTGATTTAATTGAAGGCGTGCCGTTTATTAAGACAGATCCACAAGAAAGGGAAAAAACATAAGTCTCAAACTAAACAGAGGAATGCCTAAACACAAAATAATAACCAGACCACTACAAAAACCTTGGAAAACATACACAATATATACACCAAGGGTAACGATGGAAAACAGAATACACTAACACAGCACACAGAACTATTACAAGAAAACAGGAAACCACAGACTCACAAACAGAGGGAGCATGAGATGTAACTGGGAAACGAATAAATAAACATGGAGACAGAATTCAACCTACATAAGGGACATGACACACTCAGAAGGAACAGAACCATGACTAACAGTAAATCAAAGGATGTTAATAATCAAAAACATAACACTTGGTCACCAGACCCAGGGCCATGACCATCGGGTTACGACTGTCTTTGGACAATGAACATAAAACATAAACACACAATAAAAAGTTTCACACAAATATCCAGATAACATGAAAAAAGATCAAAGCCTAGATTTATCCCATATTTGGGAAATTCTAACTGATCTTCGGAAAGCCTTGGAAAGCTGTTGAGACAGTATACAGCTGAGCATTATTTATTGTAAATAAATACAACTCAAACACACATAGGCCCAACATCAGCAGCTGACTGCAGGGCATGAAAAAGAGTCAAATTACACTTCGTTACGATCACGCACATGAAAATAACACGGAGCAGGTTTAATTTTCTTCGTTGGTAATCGCACCTTATTCCACGACTTTTCCACTATTGCAAGGAAGCTAGACCAGACTCGGCCGTGCGCGAACGCTGTGTTTAAAGGATTCTTCTAGTCCACGTTTGTTTTTCCGAGTATTCTTTTTTTTCTAACGATCACTGTGTTTATGTGTAAAACTCAACTATAGGGTAAAAAGCACTCGATATTGCGCCAGAGGATTGAAAGTTAGTACACATGTTGGGCTTGAGAATAAATACTAGGCGAAGGCCAACGACCCAGGTCGCGTGTTTAGTCCGTTTGGGAAGAATATAACGGCCTTTCATAAACCACCTACAAAGTCATCGAATCGCGTTGTGTGCAGTGGTGTGACCAATAGGTAACGCTTTGTAACGCATTAAAGACCCAGTTTGGTTCCAGCGCTCTTCGCCGCTACGGGGCTCGCATTCTGCGGCAACATCTGTCAGTGGTTTGTGCTCTTTTAAGAGAGAGATTCCCAACCTCTCTATAACTCGTAACAAGCGTTTGGATGCTACATCTAGGAGCCGGTTAGATGCATGCTACTGGAGTGAGACCGGGCAAGCCACTGCTAGTGGCGATATAATTGCTTCTTGTGAGCTGGGTGGGTGCGGCCCACCACGGACGCACTTTACTGCTTTGAGATTTGTAACATAGCATACAGGAGTAATATGACTTTGTCCTATCTGTCACTAAATGTTTAGACCGACCTAGCCTCCTCTTGGTACACACCGGATGATCAAGTCTTGCAGCGCTGAATTGTTCAGCAATGTAGTGGGGGACTGCAGGTATGCAGAGTAATCTTGTGACAGAAGTAAGGGAGCCCGAGCAACGAGGTGTGGTCGCTAAGGTTTTGGAAGATGAGAGTAAGTCCGCTACGGTAGACCGGTGGGTTGCGGGTGAGCAGCTACTCGGAAGTCTGTGGCCAATGACCAGAAGCTAGAAATAGATGGTGGTCACGATGTTCCATCTGTGGAAGCACTGGAGTTGTGGAGGTCAAGCTAAAGATGTTAAGATGTTCACTGGCAGTGAGTGGGATGGAAATTCCTCCATCAGTGGGACAATTGAGAATCAAACAGGCTGGGATGGATTGAGCATGTGTAGAGGAGGGAGGGTGGTTAACTTGATAAAAGATGATAAAGATGGAGCTGCCAGGCAGGAGGACAAGAGGAAGACCTCAGAGGTGATGCGGAGGTCGGCCACTCAGGACCAAAATGTTGCTGTTTTTGTGCTTTCTATCAGCTTTTGCGATTTCTGAGCCACATGGACACCAGAACAAGCAGTGTTCAAGTATACAAATAGCTAAACACAGCTTCGTCACAGGGCTAAGAAAATGTCAACGCGCGAGCATCTTGATAATCACTTCAAACCTATACCAGGCACTACGTGCTGCCTCTCTAGTAGGCCGCCCAGACGAAGAGGCAAGCGATATAGTTAGACACCATGCGACCAGATCGGAAATTCAGCCTTCCGAATAGGAAGATGTAGGTCAAAAAAAGACTGCAGTGAGCTGCATACAGGGCTGGACTGGGACAAAAATCGCCGGGCATTTTGACTAGAGACCGACCACCATTATAGGAAAAACCATAATGCCTTTGAATGAAAACAAACGCTGTTGTGACAGTGACATACAATGTTTTCGTGGTATATATGCATCAATCTATCAATCGTTTGTTGTAAGATTCAGATAATTCTTTAATAAACGCTGGAAATTTTAAATGAGAATAACAAAGAAACTGAAAACGGAGATTTTTTAAAACTCCTTTTTTGTGTTTACGTGTGGACGAGGAATACAGAGTTCGTCACGCAACGTCAAAGGTATGTGCCTTTATTCACGTCACGCTGTGGCCACGTTATTGTTTACATGAGATGAATTGCAGAATGATAGAGACAAAATACTGTTAATCTGACTGTCTGCAGGTTTACACGCAGTTACTGTCCCTCCATTTAGAAAGGCAGAGGCGTCACGGTGTGATTATTTTACTGTATGTGTAATAATATTCAACATTGCTGTCAATGCATTTTTCAAAAAACCTCTCTGTGCAAAATGGGTTTAAAAACATAAACAACTGTGGATACCTGTTTGATTGATTTAAAGGTTTCGTTCTAGAAAAAGTGTCCTTTCTCTACACCTCCCTAACTATTTAAATTCCGGTTCATTCCGCACTTTGTTCGGGTGAATTACAAACCGGTGAACTAGCACCACATATAAGAGTCCCCTCCGTCGATGACAAAGAAAGGGTATCACTAAGGAAAACTTGAGTGACCGTGTTTTGCTGTCCCTATCAAGCAGTATGAAAAGGAAGAGGTCAGAAGCAAACGCCAGTCTACTAGTGTCCGGATAAGTGTGCCACATTTCATTGCGAGTACAATAGCCGGGATAGAGTAACTAGTTCTTTACGTACTGCTTCCTATCGCGACGACGAGCTTCCTGATGAACAGCAGGCTTAGCGACGGTATTGAGACCACGGTGGTCCCAAGTTAGACACAGCTCGCAGCCGCCCTCTACCTCCGACCGCGGCTAAAGAGCCAGTTGCTCGTCAGTGGCATGAGCTCCCCACTCTGCCAGCTTGTCATGTCAGGTACACCGCAATACCGACGAAGGGTCGACTGGGATCACCAACTTCTCTATTATATCTCACCACGTTCTGCCTTTGAGGTATATATTCATTCAGCTGGATCTGATCGTCACTGCTCTGCATCTCCCCATCTCGTGTCAGCGCGCTCTGTGGCTCCATCCGCAAGCTCAGTGATTCAAGCGTTTGTTTTTTCTGCCCCCCCCCCCCCACACACACACACACTTTGGGAAGGTCTGAGTTAGACTATTATTAAAAATTCTCTGCTGTGTAAATTTGAAAGGAAAACAGGAACTGAATTATGTAAATCATTGGAAAACAAAAAACGCTGTACACTCCACGGAGTGTGAAAGTTTGGGTGAGGTTGGTGTTCACTGATTGACAGATTAGTATCAGAATAATATCAGCATGCAGGAACGTTGACAGGTGACATTCACCTGATGGTGCTCTGCCGGTTTTTGATCACTGACTGTTTTAGGAGCTTTTTGAGATTAAATAGAAGAAAATACAAAACATTAAACATGTTAACAACACAAAAGCCATATTAAACGCAGACTACTTTAGGCCCGGAAGTAGGATTCGTCACGTCATCACTTAACGACCGGATAGTAGCTTGAAACCCTGTGTAAGAGGGAAGGGGCGGAGCATGGACAGAGAGGTTAGGAGTCTCACGGTTTTCTGACCGTGTGCACAGGTAGTTCTGGATAACTGTTACATCTTCAGTTTGTAATAAATAGTCTTCAAATCATAATGCAACTGAATGCATTTCTTTTGGAAACCAGGAACACGCGTCAGCCATAGACTCCCTCTAAAACATCAGTAGTAGTGAGCAAGCTTCTTTATTTTAACGTGGCTCACATCCATGCATGTAAATATGACACAGTATATATCACAATTTGGTTTAGACAGCCCCCTAGTTGTGAAGCTGAACTAACCCACATAACTCCTATCAACACAATCTTATCTCTCTCTTATCTAAAAAAAGTTTTTCCTAATTTTCAACCACAATCAGAATTTGCATTTCATTCTAATCATAAATCATCATCATAATCTGTCAGATTTGTACCACACGAAACAAATTTCATAACAAAATAATCGGTTTTAACAAAGCTGTGGACAGCTGGATGGTTTTCGCGCTCGCCTTTTTTGTTCCTGGTGGGCTCCCCTCTGTCTCCATGGTAACGCAGGCACCGCCATAGCGCGAGCGTTGTCTTGTTTTTGAGCAGTAGCAGTGCGGCGGGTCCAGAGAAACTGCTTTCTTCCACATTTAACGATCAAACCTGACAAATGTGAGTTCACCGAAACTCTCCGCGCTCATGTTTGTTACCGAGAGCGCCGTGAACGCGCAGGAGGAGCTTCCGGTCGTTTGTTTCGTTGTAAAACGTCTGTAACGTTTCAGGCTTTTAAATGGTTTCATTAACGGCAGCATCTTCAGTTTAACAGGTAACTGCAGTTAAACTGTAATTGCCAAAACGGATTCGTCAGGAATAAAAACGTTTCAGAGCTAACGACACAGAACGAGCTAAAGATGACAGAATAATGTGAAATAAATAAATACATTAAAGAAGTATTGTAAACAAGGAACCAGCCAAAATCCTTTAGAGGGAAACAAAAGAAAAGTAAATGAGATAGAATCAGAACAACAGACAGGGACATCACTCAAAGCTCAGAAACGGCCAGACTTTAATAACAGCGTTAGACTTCCTTCCATTAAATTGGTTTCTGAAGCACTCCAGATTGGTAAAAGCACTGAGGACAAACCTGGAGCTGATGGGCGTGGCTGCAGACCCGATTTTAACAGGTGGAGAGGTTTAGGAGGAAAAGCGACAGAAACCTCTGAGATAATCCTGTGTGGTTGTAGTGCACGTGGCTCTCTGATGGGGGTGGCTCCGGCAGCACCCTCGTGTCCACAAACGTAGAAGAGCTGAGCACAGGTTTCTGAAATGCTTGTGGACGAGCCGCGGTGCTTCTGGCAGCTGATTTTCTCTGAAACAGAAGATAACGCAAAGTTTTTCCTGTGTCGTGGTGAAACTTTAAGTCTCTGTGTTTTCCTCAGACACTCCCGAGGCTCCTCTGACTTCAGAAAAACACAATGCCGGTGAGGAACCTTAATCCATTACTTTTGTCAAAGGACGGCAGGTGTGACGCCTCTTCAGCTCGACTGTCACGTGTTTGATGTTCAGTTGGTCTTCTTCTTCAGGTGTTGCCTGTTTGGAGGCTTGCAATCCCTCTACCTGCAGTGCTGATGATCACTGTGAGCCTGTACATGATCGTCCTAGGGATTGGGCTCTGGATCCGATACTGCCTCAAGGTTGGTGCTCTGTTCATGCTTCTTACAGACCAGAAAACTAAGAAATGGTTCCCTGTGAGGTACTTACCTTTGGTTTGACCCCTGCAGGGACCCGTCTTTGCTCTATGGGCTGTGTTTTACCCACTGTGCTGTCAGCTTTGAACTTATAATAAAATTCTCTGCTGGATTCATGCAGGTATAGGAAAATATACATGAAACGTTTATATTGTAAAGCTGGCAGTTATCATTTTACAGCTTATGAACACTTTTATGTCTCAGTAGTTCTCAGAAACATGCCTGTGTCTGCTTGAGCTGCAGTAGTTAACCCTGTGGGTTTATTCAGGTTGTGGCTGTGCAGGCAGGCATGCACTTTTACTGTTCCCCTGATTCTGACTGATGCAGTTTATAAAGTGTAACACAGACGACTGGACTCTGGAGAAGATCATCCGACCCAGCTGTGGAAGGGTTATTTATTCAGCATTTAAAGAAGTTTGTATTTGAGGTTACAGCGTGACGTCCGGGGTCTAGCAGGATTCTGACTGAGGTCATGTGACAGATTTTTGCATTTCTGTGTGCCTTTAAGGACTACTGTTCTTTAGAGTGCAGTGAATGCTGTGCAGGCCTCTCTGTGTGCGAGCAGTGCATCAGACTGGGTGAAATGTGCGACTGCCGCCTGCCGGCTGTGGGACCATTCCTGGCTGAATCCTGCTCTCCGGCTTCTGTAAGTAAACCAGCAGCACTGGCGGTCACACGAGCTCCGGCACAGAAACCATCAGCTCACGTTTGGAAACACTCTCCTCAATGTTGGTGTAAAATGTGATAAAACACTCAGACACATTCAAACAATGATGCTGATGAGGTGTGCAGAAGGTTCATTTTACAGTGAATAATTATATAAAATAAATCAATGATAGTCATTAAAAGCAGAGCGATTAAAAACTGACGTAAATAAAATGAAGCCTCACTGTTCCTGTAGTGGTCACATCAGGTGCCACTACCCCTAAACCAAATGAGATTACTGGAGACAAACCAGCAACCCTTCACTTTCTCAAACCACTTTGGAGGCACTAATCCTGGTGATCTCAGATGTTATCAGTAATGACATGGTGTATTGATAATGTCTGTGAACTGGGAAGCCAGTGACCCCATTCACAGTGAGGTGAACATTTGCTGCAGAGCTGTGTGTCAGCTGTCGCCAGAAAGGAAAGGTTCCTCAGAGGGTGCTGGACCGCCCCACCGTGACTGACAAAGGTTTGCAGATCATGTAAATGTTAAACAACACTGCGTTTTCCATATCATGCTGCAACCCACAAAGAATTTGAATCAGCAGGCTGTTAAACCCACAGCTGACCTCTGAACTCTGTGCTGCCGTAGAAAAAGCTGCTTCTTGTTGTTGCCTTATGTGAAGAAAGTGAGCTTACATATGATCAAGATTGTCAGCTGTGTTAGCTGATCAAAGTGTATCATTAATGCAAAATGTGTAGTTTGGTTTGCATTAATAAAATCAGGAGGTATGAATCACCACACGCCTCATGATCTAAGTGTTATTGTCAGGGTTATAATGGTAACTTAAAATAATGAATGTGTGTGGGTAAAACAGCTTCCTGGCTGCAGGAGAAGTTCACCTGCTGGGACAGGTGAAGCTTTTTCCTTTGAAAAAAAAAAAGAAACGGAAAGATGATAAAAAGAAGAAGAAGAAAAAAAGAGAGAATAGAAAGAAAGAAAGGAAAACTAGGAGAGAGAAGAAAGAATAAAGAAGAAAAAAAAAGTGAAGCTACACAAGCGTGCTTGTTGGTTTCTGCGGGTTCTTCAGGACACAGCAGGTGCTGCCGTTAAATCCTCGCCCAGAAAGTTAGTCTCCTGTCTGAGCTGCTGTGTTTTTCTTTCCTACAGTGCTCCAGGTGGGACTGTGCCTGTACCTGCCAGGTTCCTGACTGCGACACCTGCAACTGTTTATGCTTCGAGATCAGGATGAAGTAGGAGGCGAGGATGGAGGTGCTCATCCACCGAACTAATTTTATACTTGTTATAGCATTTACAGCGGAGATGGAGGTGGCTACACACAGAACCGGCCTTACACCTTCTCTTCTGAGTCATTCACTGACTTTTTCTCTTTGACTTTTTGAGACTGAACATTTTTCTTTCATTGCCAGAGAATGGGTTGCCTTGCCACTGATAGGCTAACCGGCAGCTGTATGCTGATATATTTCTTCTGTAAATGTGGCTCCATAATCGCTATGGTTGGCTGGCCTTTTCTATACACTAATTTCCGCTAATTTAAGAGACTACCCACCACCACCATCACATATCCTCCTCTACATTTACTATAATTACTGCCTTTGGACCATCTGTGTGTTCATCTGAGTAGCTGCATCGCTCTTACTCTGATCACACGGAGCTGACTGAATGGGCAGGTTTTCGCTTCCTTCCTGATCAGGGTCCGCCCTTGGTGGATTGTGATAATGTCGACTGTAGGTCTCTAAAACGGTGCTATTATCCCTGAGCAGCGGGTCTTGGATTAAAAGCATCAACGCCAAAAGACAGCTTGTGCCTTATGAAACGGCCTGAGGTCACGCCGAGCTGATGTCTGTTTTGCTGAAAGTACCTTCAGTACCTTGTTTTTGACGAATGGTTTATTAAATCCACATTTACACCACAGAAGCTTCTTTTTGTTTTATCTCCTCCCACTAAAACCTCCCTCCTCGGGAAGTAGCTACAAAGTTACAGCTGAGTTTGCACACAGTGCCATATGTACATGAGCATGTTCAGGGATTGTACTCCTGTTTATGTTTCCAGGACTACTGCAAACAGGAAGGATTTCCACGTCATCTCAAAGCAATAAAACAGACATATTTTGTGTTTACCCCACAATTTTTTTTATTCTTTCATCCCTCATATCAAACATTTGTTTTCCACATGTAAATTCTTTGTCATTTTATCTGTTTAGCAGATATTTGCTGACTTCTGCTCATTAACTAAGATTTGTAGTCAACCTCTCCATCAGGTGTTCCAGATGTTTGTGCTGATGATTCGTCCAGCAGAATGTATGATTTGATCCCCCACAGCTTCAACACTGAGCTTTCTTTAGATAACCTGTTAAGAATCAAGTCAAATTTTTGCAGGCACAGCTTTACGACTGAAAGTCTCAAGGTCGAGGCTTGTTCACATTCATTTGTGTCCGCGACATCATGTAAATCAGGTCAGACTCTCTACAGGAAGAGTTGGAGACAAAGGGAGAGGCTGAGGAGGTGGAAGATGGCAAATGTGTAGGCCTGAGCCGGACGACCCCCGCTGGTGTCAAACACACTATTTGAGTCATTTGTAGTGGTGGCCATAGTGGCGGTATAGGTGCTGCTGGTAGAGGTAGTGATGGGGGCATTGGTGGGGTTGGCAGTGGTGTTGGAAGCCGGAGCCAAGCGCATCTCAAGGGTCTCAGTCAGGAAGGAGTTAAAGGTGCTCACTCTGGTGAAGGTCATGACTGAGCTTCGTCTCCTCCTGGCAGAGGAGCTTGGAGCTGTTAACATGACCGCCTGGAACCAAGAGCCGCCCTGCTTACACATCAGCGGGCCGCCAGAATCACCCTGAACAAAGAGACGGGAAGGTTCAAATTTAAAATTCAGAATTATTTGGGTGCCAGGTTGTTCCCTCTAATAAAAAATGTAAAAAGGCTTAAAAATAACACAAAATAGAGAAGCTCTTTTAAATGAAATCGAATTGGCCCATAATGAAGACTGAAACTTCAAAGCTAGATCTGCTTTATGTTTGTACATGTTTCTAAAGATTGTAAGCACTCTGGAAACTCAAGATGATGAACTATCCAAATTCAACATGTGACTGTAATAAGCAGCTAAATCCAGAATAAACAACATGTCAGCAGACAGTGTTATAAGAAGAAGAATCCAGTCATTTACCTGCTGCAGTGCAAACACGTCTGTACAGATGCTCTCACTCGATGATGAGTTCCCACAGTTTACCACCGAGGTCTGAAACTGCTGCATAACTTCCTCAGCTAACATCATGAAAGATAAGAAAATCCTGATGTTTGACTAAAGAATCTGTAAGTGCAGTGGTCCACATGTGTAATCTGAGGGATGGACTGGTGCAGAGTCTGGGCAGAACTCTGTCAGCCTTCATGTTGCTGACTCACCTCCTCCTCTTCCAGGACTCCAACCGGCCGCCCAGCACGCCAAGCCCTCGGCGAAGGTTCCCCCGTTGTCCAAGCAGATGGGCTGGATGTAGTCGGTCAGGGTGGGCTGGGCAGATAGACGGAGGATGGCTATGTTGGTCCCGGTCGTGTTGCTCAGAGTGATATTTGTCACATTCAGCGTCACCTCAAAGGTTGGACATGTCTGTCTGCTGTGGCTCATCCTGTGCTGTTCCACTGGCTGACAGTTGGTGGCAGTAAAACAAAGTAAATGTAGAAATGTGCCAACAAAGTCTGAGACACAAATTGTATAAAAGGATTGATTTTGATTGAAATAGACTAATATATAGTTTCCAACTGGTTACACATAATCTTTCTTTCTTGTTTTGAATTGTCTCCACAGACTTAACCTTATAGAAGAATGTGCTTATTCTAGATACTTGTGAGACAGCACACTTGTTTCCTGCATTAAAGTGATTATTTCTCTGAACGGGTGTCTTTATGACCCACCTCCACTTCCTATGTTGCCCCAGCCGGTGACCCAGCTGTTAACACCGCTGTAGAAGGTGCTGTCTGAAGCTGCCAGGCAGACGGGAGAAATGTAGCTGCTGAAAGTCACAGATGAGGAGAGCTGCAGGAGGCAGACGTCGCTGTCATTGGTATCAGAGTTGTAGTCTGGATGTTTGATAAGCTTTTAATAACATTTAGGTTAATGTTTGCATTAGCACCATAAAGTGACAAATCAACCGTTTGGTGGAGCACTTTAAAAAAAAAATCAAACATTAAATTTCATTCATCTATCACATGTCAAAAAAATATGCCTTCCTAAAATGATTCTCAACCGTTTGGTTTAGCAGGTTGTTAAAGGGTTAAAGAGCCATACTCCCTTCTGCACAGTACCTTTGTCTCAGCAGGTTCTTTGGCTTGTTCTGGCCATCATGTGATCAGTGTATTTTTGGAAACTGTTATGTAAAAGATGATTTCCTGGAACAATGCTTTCATGTCTGTCGGCAAACTGGATCTACCAGTAAAAGATTAGAATCAGAATAAGGAACAGCTAAGCACAGGTGAGTTCACAGGTATGCAGAAGTGCAGATTCATGTTTGTAGTGCCAGGAGAGGCCCTGAGGATGAAACAATTCCACTGGTTAAAGGAGACGATAGATGATAAACAAATGAGGTCAACAGAGATTGTATGAGACGTTGTTTACATAAGTAGGTTATTAAAGGCTGCCAAAAAAAAGGTTATTAAAGTGCAAGTGAAGAGCCGGCGCTTGCACACACGGAGTTTGACACACCTGAAACACACAGCAAGTTTATTGAGATGAAAAAGTAACAACAAAGAATGTAACATACATAAGCAAGTTTCTTAGTAAGAATAAACTTGTTACGGTTTTGTATGTTCACTCGTTTTAGGGGGTTGGTGAGGTAGAGGAGTGTTTATCTGGAATTGAACACAAGGAGGGAAACAAGACGCAAGGGCTCACACAACATATATAAACAGACACACAGGGCAAAGACACAAGAGGGAATCTAATAATCAAGTGAGAAAACTCACAATAAAATACCTAAGATCATAAATGAACCTGAACATAAGCTTCAGAGCCCTTGCTGCTCATGCCTGGTTCGAGCCTTGCTCTGAAACTATGCCTCCCCCGAGCCTGCCGGCAAATGTGCGACCCCGCCACCGTCATCCCCTCAAGGATGGAACTCATACCCGGGCCTCGCGAATCTCCCTGGGAATCTCCAAACCAGACACCCGGCAAGTCTTTAGGGTCCACCGCCTCACTTATGCCCATTGTTACGTTTCGGTGTTGTCAGTGTTTTGTTTTTTGCGTGACTGTCATGTATTTCCTGCTTTACTTTGAAAGTCTGTGTTATCTCAGTGTGTTCAGTTTACGTTTCCTTGTCTCGTCAGGTCTAATTTGCCCCAGCTGTGTTTCCCTCCTGTGGTCCATTCCCTGATTGCTCCTTCTATGTATTTAAGCCTTGTGTTTCAGTATGTCATGGTCGCGATCTCCCCCTGTGTTGTAAATAAATAGTTTGTTGTAAATAGCTGTGAATGGATTTGTCAATACTTTCGTTTTGGGATTTTGGTGGAGAGCCTTAGTGTTTTTTTTCTCGTGTGTATTTTCCTTATTTTTATTTTCTTGCGTTGCACGCCGGTTGCCTAGGCCGGGGTGTAACACCATCGAGCAGATATTTCACGGCTGTAAATACTTGGAGATATGTGGATGTTACCAGTCATCATCGTTCCCCCAGTCAAGTACATTGAGAGAACACACCACTAGTATTTAATCAATCAATCAATCAATCAATCAAAGCTTTATTCGCCACGTGCAGGTTGCACACACACAACACAGACATCACATGGGGATACAGGTCAGAGATCGGTAGCGTTACAGAAAAACACTGAAATATACACTACAATGGGAAAGTACAAGAGGGAAAAAAGAGAGCTCTGCTCATGCTGGGCTCCTGGGAGGACAGCATGAGAACAGAAAACAAAAAAACTCCTCTGCACAAAGAAGCACATAAATGTCCACAGCACAACATTATGGAGCACGCGACCAGCCACAGGGTCGGGTGGGGGGTGAAGAGTAATCCGAAGCAAACACAGCAGCCATCCTGCCCAGCGCTACCATTCCAGCGCGGGCTCAGACTCGCCATGTTCTCAGGAGGGAACAAGATTCGAAGGCATTTGGAAAGGGAGGGGGGATGAGTGTGTGCATATCACTGTATATGTATGTGTGTGTCCATAGTTCAGCTGAGACAGTGTCCTTCGCCCTGCCAGGTTAGGTAAAAACAGTCTTCCAGCCAACCCAGGTGGCCTTGCATGGAATGAGAAGGAACAGACTAAACAGTCGTTATCAGGGTGTTTTTGTTCGGCTCCAGCCTTGAGACCGCAGCTGGCGCCAAATGTATGGCACTTTTTCTATTTGTTCCAGAAATAAGCTCATGAAATTTAAAAAGGGAGATCACGTGAGATTGTCTCAAGTTAGAGGTGTGTTTGATAAACACTATGAACAGACTTTCACGGATGAAATATTCACTATAGACCAATGCATACCTAGGGATCCTCCGGTTTGTAAAATCAAAGATTACGATGGGGAACTAATTATCGGTAGTTTTTACGAGCATGAGCCACAGAAAATCAATGTGGTTGTGGGTAAGCTGTATCATATAGAGAGCATTCTGACAAAACGTAAACAGAGGGGGCAAATGTATTTCCTGTCAAATGGGGAAACTGGCCTGAAAAGTTTAATAGCTGGATTAAAGCCAGTGACCTTAAAAACCTAAAATAAAAACCTTCCACCTCATTTCATGCTGGTGACATGACTCTCAGGTCTCAAGGCTTTTACGTAACACTACCTTCAAACGCTAGCCTAAATGTATTTAAAAATAACACGAGTAGCCGTTTCCGTGAGGATCTCGCCCAGTATCTCTATCTCGCTGGGCCCTGGGAGGTGGCTGTCATTAAAATTTCCTATCCCTATACATGGTTCAATCTCCCAAATGATATGGCATACTTTGAATGGAGGAAAAAGAGTGATGCAGAGCAGAAGCCCGCTGATGTTGATAAGCAAAAAATATTTTTTTATGGTTTTTATGAGGATCCTAACATGCTGAGATCACAGATTGATGATGCCTGCCTTAGACGTATTGAATTTGATATTTTTCTCAAATATAACCCAATTCAGAAAAAGTCTGAATTTACATC